GACACTGAGGGTTGCGGTCCGTTGCCGGACATGAAAAAAGACAAAAAAAAGGAAAAAAAAAAAAAAAGAAAGAAAGGGGTGAGGTGGGAGGGAAAAAAGGAATACGAGCAAGGAACAAGAGAAATAACCAAGCAGCTTTGCAAAAGAACTATGTAAATCCTCTAGAAATAAAAAATAAAACGATTAAAAGCTTAGTGGATAAGTTTAATAGTAAAACAGGCACAGCTGAAAGAAGATTAATGAACTGAAAGACTGATTTGAAGAAATTATCCAGAGTCCTGTAGAGAAACAAAGAAATGAAAGATATGAGAGATTAAAAGACATGAAGGATTGAGGTAGATTGAACAGAGAGCAAGACAAGGATAATAGAGAAAATAAAAAGGAAGTAATTTTTGAAGAGATGATGGCTAAAAATTTTCTAGAATTTTTTAATAACATCAATCTTTAGATCTACCAAGTTCAATGATTTCCATGCAGGATGGATAAAAAGAATTACATTCCTAGACACATTATAGTGACTGCACATTACCAAAAAAACCAAAGTGATCCTATGAACACCAAAGAGAAAAATGAAAAATGACTTCTCAATGACACCAATGAAAGCCAGAAAACAGTGGAATATATCTTCAATATGCTCAGAATAAGTACCTATCAACTTGAATCCTATGCCCAGCAAAAGTATCATCACATAACTATAGTAAAATAGAGGTATTTCCAGAAAATAAAAACTCAGACCTTTACTAAAAGAAACTCTAAAGAATGCAGTTAAAACCAGAAGGAAAGTGATCCCTGATGGAAGGTCTGAGATATAAGAAGGAATAATGAGGAAAGATATTTGTATATATGTACATGTATGTTTTAACACTAACATCAATAATATCTACTTAGATTTTTTTTTAAGGACAAAAAGTGCTGGGTTGGAAAAGGAAATATGAGTTATACCTCATAAAATTCCCATGGTGTTTGAGAGAAGGATAGTATTTTATTTCTTTCCTTGTTGGTGGGTACACAGTTGTTCATTTTATTATTTTTCTTTAATGTTTACATATACACATAGCTGTTTGTATGTTTAAATGCATATTTCATAATACAGAAATGAAACCAAACCAAAAAAGACAAGCACTTGACTACCAACTCTACCATCACCTAGTTACACAACTAGCAAGTAATTTAACCCCTCTGAGTCTATCTCTTCACTCAATGGAAATAATAATATGTATTTTATAAAAGTCTATGTTAATACAAACACTTATGCATAAATGTTCATAATAGCTTTATTTGTAAGAGCCAAAAACTGGAAACAACTCACATGTCCATCAACAGGTGAATGAATCAACAAGTTGTGATACATCTACATAATTTAACACTAGTTAGTAATCGAAAGAAATGATCTATTCCATTAAAAAACATTTTTGAAATGACAAACTTTCTGAAACAGAGAACAGATTAGTGGGTACCAGGGCTAGTGATGGGATGCAGGAGGGATGTGAGTATGGTTATATAAGGGCGGCAAACAGGATCCTTGTAATGTTGGAACTGTTCAGTATATTGAGCGTGATGAGGGATACACAAATCTATGTAGGTGATAAAATTGCATAGAATTTAATACACACACATGAGTACAGGTAAAAGTGAGAAAATCAGAATAAGATTGGTAGGTTATTTCAATGTCAATATCCTAGAGGTGATATTATACTATAGTTTTCCAAACCATTGGAAGAAACTAGGAAAAGTGTACAAGTGATCTCTGTGTATTATTTCTTACAACTTCATGTAAATCTATAATTATTTCCATCTAAAAAAGTGAATGGGGGCTGGCCCGGTGGCGCACTGCTATAGTGCGCCACTTGGGAAGCGCGGTGGCGCTCCCGCCGAGGGTTCGGATCCCACATACAGACCGGCCGCTCACTGGCTGAGCGAGGGGCAGGAGCAACACCGAGGGTTGCGATCCCGTGGCTGGTCCCGGTCCGGTACGGGCGCGACACTGAGGGTCGCGATCCGTTGCTGGTCACAAAAAAAGACAAAAAGGAAAAAAAAAGAAAAAAAAAAAGTGAATGATCTAGTTATACACACAACTTGGATGATTTTCAGAATAATTATGCTGAATGAAAGAAGCTAGACAAAAAAGAATTCATACAGTATGATTTCATTTATATAAAATTCTAGAAAATGCAGTTTTATCTGTAGTGGCAGGAAACAGAACAATGGGACAAGAGTTGGGGGATGAGGAGGATTAGAAGGGAGGTATAAAGAGGCATGAGGAAACTTTGGAGGGTTATGGATATGTTCATTATCTTGATTGTAGTAATGGATTCAAGAGTGTATACATACGTCAAAACCTCCGTGTGTTATGATTTCTCCTTATTTAGGCTAAAAAGCAATGAACCTGTAAGCTCTGTACCATAGTGTCTAAGATAATAGTCATATTAAATCTGGAGAAATATATTTTCTTGTTTAGGCTCATTATAATGAATTAGAATTTCTGACTTAATAAATCATATTACTTATTCAAAATGTTATCAAATGTATTAATATAGTAATTAAAATTGGTCAAGCAAAATAATGGTTCCTTCTCCTGCTAAATATTAGAATAATTTTAACTTCTTGATATCTCCAAATATCAAGGATTGAAATAAATCCTTTATGTGACTTCTATATTAGCTTGAACTTTTAAAAATATTAGTATCTTGGAAAGAAAATACCAGATACAGCTTCAAGTTTCACCTATTTCCTAATGTGTGAAAATATATTTCATAAAGAAATTCTGGTTTGGTTCTGTTTATTGTGTTTTTCTATTCTTTTGCCCTGTACACTGTTTCTGACGATTTATTTTTTCGATTTGTTTTTTTTCTTTTAAGTGCCAAGAATTCAAGAGCCTGACAGTCAATATTCAGTTACATATTTGAAAAAGATATTTTCTGTTGAAGAGGAAAGGCTTGTGATTAATCCTGGAAAGGCAGAGTGGTGGAAACAAGCAGGACTAAACCCGATAATGACAGAAACTGTGGAACATCTGAATACATGTTTGTGTTATGATGACCTATCTTCTAATGACACTAAAATAGAGATATTTTTTCTTACAAAAGTTCTTCAATTAGAATGTAAGTACATAATAGTAAATATGACTTGTATGAACATTTTCAGAATGAGAAAATGTTAGTTACTAGATTTCCTCTAGGTGATGGAGAAAACATAAAGAAGTTCTAACATTCAATATTGGCTCTGGCTCTGCCAGAATTTATGACCTTGGGCTTTTATAGCCTCCATTTTCTTCCTTAAGAAAATAAGGAATTTTGACTAGCTAATCCTACGATTCTGGTCTGTCCTAAAATTCTGTAGTCTTAGTTTTTAAATTTCTAGCCATTTTCAATTAAAATGACTTTGATAGGGGCTAGAAAGTTGGTTAGAGCATGGTGCTAATACCAGGGTCTAGGGTTTGATCCCTGTAACAGTCAGCGCCCCTCCCCCAACAAAAAGTGACTTTCTTTTATAAATGATTAAATTGACAGCACAGTTTCTGTTTACATCAGCTTAAGCACAAACCAGAATTTTATAGTAACTTATTTTTTGACCTGACAGCTGGACTTTGGTGTTCGATAATACCTGGTAATCTCTCTTCAACAACAGAAAATCTTCCACTGTTATTAAAAAGTTTACTAATTTAGCATTTTTTATTTACACAATGTAAGAAGTGACACTTTTGAGTGTCAACCTTTTGAGCTATTTTGGTTGCTATATATGCCATTGTAGTAAATGGAATATACTTAGCATGAATTATACCTTTTTGAAATATATATGTATTGTTTTAAAATTCATTTGTGCAATAATTAGTAAATTTTGATCTTAAAGGATTTAGGAAAGTTTAAATTTAGTTTATTATAGAGTAATAAGTATATTTAAAAGTGAATTATAGAAAATTTTATGTATGTTGGGAGTCTGGTCTAAGAAGATAAGGAATTGGGATGAGAGTTGTTATCAGCAAGGAGTGTTTCAAAGACAGAAGACATAGAAAGCTTTAGATGTGGTCGAAAGGAAGACAGACAGAGACTATATCAAGCATATGTATACCAGTCTATTCCAGGCCTGGATAGTACCCATGGTAGAGTAAGAACTTTAAAAGAGATTAGGTCAAATTGCTAGACAAAGAAAAGGGAGAAGATTTTATGTGTTCTTCAAAATATCCAAATAGTGTATTAAATCTATAAAACTATGTAGTCTTTATTATGCTATGTAACTAATTTGAGGTTAAAATAAAATGTATCATTCACCTTAATACCCCCCAAAATTATGATAATTATGAAATTTAAGAAGCAATAACTATACCTGGAGCTCACAGCCAAGGTGTCAGTATGGGTGGTTAGAGAGGGAATAGTAGAGGAAAATAATCAGAAAAGTGAAATAATAAGCAGTTCCTGTTTACCTGCTAAACATACCAGATTATCTCTAGAGAATATCTCAGAGATTGCAAATTGGTAGCACTCACAGGCCCTATTCAACCCACACATTATTGACTCATATAGTGTTTTAATTAGTTATCAACCTTTAAAATTTGGGGGATTTCACATATATGATCTATATTTTGAGTTTGTTTTTAAAATTCCAAGAACTGGACTCAGATTCTCATATGGCAACAAATGGCTGCGGCCATTAGCACCTCACAACTTTAGAAAGAACATGCACTCTCCAGCTCGCTGTAGTTCCCAGAACTCATGAATTGAGGACAGGTGTTAGTTGGGATTTAGCATTACTCTTTTGTCTTACATTTAGTGTAGTTAAGAGGAAAATGAAATGTTTCTATACCTATATCTCTATTAAATGAGAAAATAAAACAAAATTGTAGACCACATTTTGGAAGAAAAGATTACAAAGTTGATCTACACAAAGACTATGATTTAAGCACTAGCCATATACTTCACTCATTCACATTATTTAGTTGGCCTTATAGGCATTTAAGTTTTTTTCAAATCAACTTTATGAGGTATGATTTACATATAATAAATTGCACTCATTTTAACTGTACAGTTTGATGCATTTTGACAAGTATATATATCTGTGAAACTACCACCATAATTAAGATATAGAATATTTTCATCACCAAAAAGTTCCCTTGTGCCCATTTGCAGTCATTCTCCCTCTATACGATCCCTCTCCCCCACCAACCTTCACCCCTGACTCCTGGCAACCACTAGTCTACTTTCTGTAACTATATATTAGTTTCCCCTGTTCTAGAATTTCATTTATAGAATCATGTAGTATGAACTCCTTTGTGTCTGGCTTCTTCCATTCAGCATAACATTTCTGAGATTCATCCATGATGTTGTGTATATCACTAGTTCATTTATTTTTATTTCTGAGGAATGTGTCATTATATGGATGTACTACAGTTTACTTATCAGCTCTCCTGGATTTTTTCCCCAGTTTTTATTATTGTGAATAAACTACTATGAATATTCGTATACAAATCTTTTTGTGGACGTATGTTATCATTTCTCTTGAGTGAATATTTCGGAGTAGAATTGCTGAGTCTTATCATAGTTATATGTTTAATTTTATGAGATACTACTAAATTGTTTTCCAAAGTGATCGCACCATTTTACATTCCCACCAGCAATTGCGAGAGTTCCAGTTACTCTATAACCTTGGTAACACTGGGTATTGGCAGTCTTTTAAATTTTAGCCGTTCTAATGGATGTGTCGTGGTATTTCATTGTGGTTTTAATTTGTATTTCCCTTATGACTCATCACGATGAGCATCTTTTTACACGCTCATTGGCCATTTGTATAGCTTCTTTTTTAGAAAATACATAACTGCTTTATTGAGATATAATTCATATACCATACAATTGACCCACTTAAAGTATACCATTCAATAGTTTTTAGTATGATCACAGAGTTGTGCATTTATCACCACAAACCATTTTAGAACACTTTTATCACCCCAAAAAGAAACTTCATATTCATTACCAGTTACTGTCCAGCTATGGAATCATTAATCTATTCTCTGTCTCCACAGATTTGTCTCTTCTGGACATTTCATATAAATGGAATCATACAATAAGTGGCCTTTTGTGACTGGCTTCTTTCACCTAGCATGTTTTAAAGATTCACCCATGCTGTAGAATGTGCATATCTTATATAAAGAAATGTTCAAAACTTTTGCTAATATTTTAATTGGATTGCTTTTTCAATGTTGTTTTAAGAGTTCTCTATGTATTTTGGGTAGAGTCCTTTGTCACTTATATGTACTGCAAGTATTTTCTTTCAGTCTCTGGCTTGCCTGGTATGTAAACCTTTGACTCATACAGTAAATGTTACCTCCTAGGCCATGCATGACTCATTGTAAGCCTATTAGCAATAGGGCATCCTGTAATTCCTTCTTTGACAGGTAACCTGGTTCCTATAGCAAGAAAAAGAGATGCTAAATTTTATTGTTTTTAAAAATTTATTTTATTTTGACAGAAAATTGATTTTCAGGGCAGTAATCAAAGTACTCCTAAGGATCAAATTATATTAATAAAAAAAACACAACTAAAAGTTATATTAATCCCCAGTGGAACACTTGTTTAAGCATGGAGGTCATTTGGGTATTTTCTATTTTCTGTTTTCAGCATGGCTAGAACATAAAAGTTGTTCCTCATCTATTGTACTTATTAGTGAGAAATCTGCAAATGAGCATTTATTGCCTTCACAAAAGAGCCCATCTCTGGTAAAAGAAGTACCAGCTCTGCGTTTTCCTGATGAATATATCTCTGTGACAAGACCAACAAAAGAAGAAAAACCAAAGAAAGATCAAGAACTAATTTATAGAACAATCCAAAAGAAAGAAAATGAAGATCACTTTGAACTTGACTGCACAGTACCATCTATTGAATCATCTTCCCCTTCAAGAATTAAAAAAGCATTGATTGAAAGTGGTAAAAAACCTGAGAATGAGTTGGACCTTTTGAGTGACTTTATTATGCTACGAAATAAACATAAGATGTGTACCTCAAAGACTGAAGTCACAGGCACCAGTGAAAAAGATGGTGGGTAATTTAGTAATATTTTGCATAGATATGATAGAACTAAGTGCATAATTTATTTGAGAAGGCAAAGAAATAAATCTCTTCTAGATAAAATTATATTATTTTTCATAGTCAAAGAAAATGGCATTGGGCCGGCCCGGTGGCGCACTGCTACAGTGCGCCACTTGGGAGTGCGGCGGCGCTCCCGCCGAGGGTTCGGATCCCACATACAGACTGGCCGCTCACTGGCTGAGCGAGGTGCAGGCGCGACACGAAGGGTTGTGATTCCGTTTCTGGTCCCGGTCCGGTACGAGTGCGACACTGAGGGTTGCAATCCGTTGCCGGTCACGAAAAAAGACAAAAAGGAAAAAAAAAAAAGAAAATGGCATTGATTCATGATATTTCTTATATATGGGGATAGATATGGATATATAGGTATAGATTTAGATAAAGTTATAGATATGTATTTTCCAAAAAATTTTAAAGTGCATTTGAATTTGTAATTAAAGCTACTACTATAAAACTTGCTTTCTACAACTTGGCCATCCAAATTCATAGTTTTTCTAACTTTTGTTCATCATTCTGTCATTCTTTTTTCTCTTTTAGCTGACAGCCCTATGTCAATATTTTGACTTAGTGTACTTAAGAACTTTCCTTGCCCATTTAATTGCTTATTACTTTTTCTAACATTACCAAAGATTTGCTGTTTGAGTTGTAATTGTCTTGCATTCATTGCTTATAACCACATCAAAGATAACATAATGTGTCATGTCATTTCACTTCTGGTAAAAATAGGATTTCTAGAATAAGTTTGACATAGGTTGCCCTGGTGAAATAAATATAAAAATAATTATGTGACTTAGAGCATAGTTAGATCTTGTTGTTCTATATGCTATTATGAACACAAGATCTTCAATTCTTAGTGTCATGATGATTGCATATACTTTTTTGAAAGACGTGACAGAGGGCAGTGCTGCTTCTCAGATCCTGAGTTTGGATTGTTCCTCCTTGAAGCTGTGCTGCCACAGTGCTCTACGCATTTCCAAGAGCAACAAAAAATAAGGAAATGTTTGGATGCCGCATTACCAAACCTGAGGTGATCTTCAAGTTGGAATAAGGAGCAGAGCCGTGGATGACTGGTGAACCCCCAAAACAGAACCTCCCAGCCCTCAGGAGAGAGGCACCATGCCAGAGAGGCCTGAGATCCACGGAGACCATGCACCCCGCAGTGCCAGCGTGCAACCCAGCAGGTAGGCCTTGCCACCTCCTGACTCCATCCCCAGCCCAGCCAAGTGCATGCTGATCAGAGAGGCGCCCCACCAGAGAGGCTCAAGACCCGTGGAGACCACGCACCCCACGGTGCCAGCACATGACCCAGCAGGTAGGCCTCACCACCACTGGACTCCATCTCCAGCCCAGCCAAGTGTGCACCGACCAGAGAGGCACCTCCCCGGAGAGGCCCAAGACCCGAGGCGACCACACACCCAAGGTGCCAGTGGGCGACCAAGCAGACACTGAGGCAGCCATGCCAAATTGGCAGCCCCAGCAGCATCATAGCCAGACAATGGTGTCGAACCACTGGATCGTGAAATCTCCTGCCACAATGACTGAACATCAAAGGAAAGATACCAGAAATATGAAAAATCAAGAAGGTACACCCCTAAAGGGTAATAACTCTCAAGCTCTAGATTCTATAGAACAAGAAGCCCTTGAAATGTCTAACGAGGAATTTTGAGTGTTAATTCTAAGGAAACTAAATGATATACAAGAAAACTCAGCTACACAACATGATGAAATGAGGAAAAGTATACAGGACCTGAAAGAAGAAATGTACAAGGAAATCAGTACTCTGAAAAAGAATCTAGCAGAGCTTGCCAAGCTGAAGAATTCATTCAACAAAATAAAAAACAGAACAGAGAGTTTAACCAGCATGCTTGCAGAAGCAGAAGACAGAACTTCTGACCTTGAAGATGGGCTGTTTGAAATAACACAGGCAGACCAAAAAAAAAAAAAAAAAAGAAAGAAAAAAGAACTAAAAACATTGAAGAAAATCTAAGAGAGATATCAGACAACCTTAAATACTCAAATATCCAAGTCATGGGTATTCCAGAAGGTGAGGAAAAAGGAGCTTGCATTGAAAACATATTTAACAAAATAGTGGCAGAAAACTTCCCAGTTATTGGAAAAGACACAGATCTTCAGATTCAGGAAGCTCAAAGATCCCTAGCTTAATTCAACCCAATAGGGTCTTCTCCAAGACATGTTATAGTCGAATTGGCAAAACTCAAAGACAAAGAGAGAATCTTAAAAGTTGCAAGAGGGAAGCATCAAATCACCTATAAGGGAGCCCCAATCAGGCTAACATCAGACTTTTCATCACAAACCCTAAAAGCCAGGAAGGAATGGATGATATATCCAAAATAATATAAAACAGAGATTGCCAGCCAAGAATACTCTACCCCACAAGGCTATTCTACCTAAATGAAGAGCAAATAGTATATTTCTCAGACAAACAAAAACTGTAGGAGTTCACTACCATACCACCATCCTTACAAGAAATTCTCAAGGGAGTACTGGGTTTGGTGCCTGAAAAATAACTACCACTGCCATAAAAACTCAAGAAAAATCCACACCTACTAGTAAAATAAAAATGCCAACAATGAAGAGAAAAAAAAAGTTTATCTACAACCCAAGGAACCTGCAAATACAGAAGACAAACAGTAAATCAGAAAGAAAGGAACAAGAGACACTTAAGACATCCAAACAAAGATCAGTAAAATGCTAGGAGTAAATCAACACTTTTCAATAATAACTCTTAATGTAAAAGGATTAAATTCCCCAGTCAAAAGATACAGACTGGCTGACTGGATGAAAAAGGAGGGCCCAACTAGATGCTGCCTTCAAGAGACCCACTTCACTTATAAAGACTCACATAGACTAAGAGTGAAAGGATGGAAAAAGACTTACCATGCAAACGGAAATGAAAAACAAGCTGGAGTAGCTATTCTTATATCTGATAAAATAGACTTTAAACTAAAAACCATAAAAAGAGAGAATGAGGGCCACTACATAATGATAAAAGGATTGATCCATCAAGAAGACATAACAATCAAATATATATGCACCCAATGTCGGAGCAGCCAGATTTATAAAGCAAACTCTATTAGACCTAAAGAAGGAAATAGACACTAATACCACAATAGCAGGGGACCTGAACACCCCACTATCAGTATTGGACAGATCATCTTGGCAAAGAATCAGCAGAGAAACACAAGATCTAAACAATACTCTAGACCAATTGGACTTGGCAGATATCTATAGAACATTCCATCCAACAACCTCAGAATATTCATTCTTCTCATCAGCACATGGATCATTCTCCAGGATAAACCACATGTTAGGTCACAAATCAAGTCTCAACAAATTCAAAAAAATTGGAAGTATCCCATGTATTTTTTTCAACCACAATGGATTAAAACTAGAAATCAATAATAAACAAAACTCTGGAAAGTATACAAACACATGGAAATTAAACAACATTCTACTTAACAATACATGGGTCCAAGAAGAAATCAAACAGGAAATAAAAAAATTTATTGAAACTAATGAAAATAATGATACATCATACCAAAACTTGTGGGATACAGCAAAGGCAGTACTAAGGGGGAAATTTATTGCATTAAATGCCTACCTCAGAAAAATGGAAAGCTGGCAAGTGAACAATCTAATAAAGCGCCTTAAAGAACTAGAAAAACAAGAACAATCCAAACCTAAAGTTAGCAGAAGGAAAGAAATCATCAAGATCAGAGCAGAACTTAACGAAATTGAAACCCAAAAAACAATACAAAAGATCAACAAATCAAAAAGTTGGTTTTTTGAAAAGATAAACAAAATCGACAAACCACTTGCATGGCTAACAAAAAAAAGAAGAGAGAAGATTCAAATAACAAAAATTAGAAATGAAAAAGGTGATATTACAACCGACCCAAATGAAATACAACGAATCATCCGAGACTACTATAAACAGCTATACACCAACAAGTTCGAAAACCTGGAGGAAATGGATAAATTCCTGGACTCACACAAGCTTCCAAAATTAAACCAAGAAGATATAGAAAACCTGAATAGGCCAATAACAATAAAGGAGATTGAAGATGTTATCAAAAAGCTCCCAAAAAAGAAAAGCCCAGGACCAGACGGATTCACAGCAGAATCTTACCAAACATTCAAAGAGGAAATGACACCGATTCTTTACAAACTATTCCAAAAGACTGAAACAGAAGCAAAGCTTCCAAACACATTCTACGAAGCAAACATCATCCTGATACCAAAACCAGATAAAGATATAACCAAGAAAGAAAACTACAGGCCAATATCCTTGATGAATATAGATGCAAAAATCCTCAATAAAATATTAGCAAACAGAATACAACAACACATATGCAAGATCATTCACCACGATCAAGTGGGATTCATCCCAGGGAAGCAAGGTTGGTTCAACATACACAAATCAATAAATGTGATCCACCATATTAACAAAATCAAACACAAGGACCATATGATCATCTCTATTGACGCCGAAAAAGCATTTGATAAAATCCAACACTCATTCATGACAAAGACCCTTTATAAATTAGGTATAGACGGAAAGTATCTCAACATAATCAAAGCCATATACAATAAACCCACTGCCAATATCATCCTGAATGGGGAAAAACTAAAAGCTTTTCCTTTAAAAACAGGAACCAGACAAGGATGCCCACTCTCACCACTACTATTCAACATAGTATTGGAAGTATTAGCCAGAGCAATCAGAGAAGAGAAGGAA